GATATCAAAAAAGTACTCCAGAGTGTTGTTCAGCATGGGGGTGAGTAGAAAATGAAGGCTAATCATGTTTTGGGTGAACTATTCCTTTAACAGGAAGAAACCTCCACCTCCAGTGTGAGTGGCCTAAATGACAATTCAGACATTTCGAACTTTGACTTCCCCCTCTGGCGGTTAGGAAAAAATCCATAGAAAAGCTGCACCTTTTAATAAGCAGCATGGTTCAAAGCATGGGAAACAAGTGGCGGATATTGTCCAGAAAATACGGCATTTAAAGCCCAAGAAATTAAATCAGCGTAGATTTTCTGTACTATATTGCATGAAACCACAGAAGAAAACGTTCTTATTGCCTTTATCAATAAATTATTTTGCACCCAGCTTTGTTAGAGTCACAGTGAAGGAAGCTCTGAAGACGCAGGTTGCAAACCAGTTTTAGAGTCAGTTTCCATTCTCTAGGGAAAAATTTGATAACCAAACTTGATGACTATTTTAATAATCGATAAATCAGAATTAATGTGATTGTTTCAGCCCTAAAACCATATTGACCAAGAGATAATTCTACTTTTGTATTTACATGAACTTCGATGACATCCTTTTCTCATTTTAAAAGGCTGAATTTGACATCTGCTCCAGTTCGTCCTACAGGTGTCATAAGAAGGCAGGAGTCTGTGCAGACAGGTCAACTTATTCAACATCAAACTTTATTCACCTGCTGCAGTCATGCAAGCGACTCTAATATCAAAACTATTAATCCAGCGGTGTGACCCGATACATTTGGCAATAAAGTGTATTTATCGTTAGAAAAATATTTATATTAACAGTTTTTATATAGCAGCTTTCTTAATTTGAAAATGTGATACATTTCAGCACCTCCCATCAATACATTTCTTACTGAAAGAGACGCAAAAAGTCAGATTTTAATAAGATACTCCAAATAGTTGAATAAAGCCTGCTCCATGACAAAAACTATGGGATGTCAAGGTTTCTTTTACCTGCTTTTCATGACCAACCCATCCATGCTAGAATATAGTCCATGCACAGCTTTTTGTGTTTATCTTGTAGTGAGGAGGAATGGGAGATTTGATCTCAGTCGCAGTGATTGTTGCTTCTGGGTAAAACTGGTCTAAACATGTTAGAACATCAGGAAAACTATCTATCCTTTAAAATTCATACAGCAGCTGAAAACAATCAGGTACCTGTTGTGGCCGTACACAGCTGGAGTTGAGGTTGGGGTAGCGAGTAGCAGGATCGATGGTGTACTGATCAAAGTTCTTACTGATGTTTTCTGGAGTCGTCTGAGGCAGCAGACGATAAATACTTTCCCTTAAAGAGAGAGAAAGGATGACAGATTTTAAACGCAGCAGTTTATTGGTATTCTTTATGTTTATAGATATTCTAAAGCAGAACTTAATTACCGTAAATTCTCTAATATAGGCCCGGGCCTTTATTTCACTCAAGTGCATCGCGGTCC